GCACTCCCTCCTCCATGTCCCCACATTCTCCAGCCATCGCATGCCACCCTCCCCAGAATACAGGCCTCTTGCAGGCAGGTTTGCAGCCCTGCTGCTGCACCATTCCAGACCACATTTAGACCCTTCCTGATGCCCAGAATGACATGTTGAATTAAAGAAGGAATGAATGGCAGTGGCTTTTAAAAATGAATAGACATTCACTAAACTCTATTTCTAAAGTGCAGACATTTCACTGAACTGATGTGTCCTTAGTTTTTGGATGTACCAGCTGGGACATGTCACTCAGTGTGTGTGTACTTCAGTTGGGGGGGTGGGAAGAAGCTTTCCTTTCAGCACTCTGTTGTTTTCCAGCTAGTAGTTATTTCAGGGCAAGGTGGACAGTGAGCTAAGGTCACCGTGTGTCTTGTGTGTTGTGTTATTAAATAGCTAATCTTGTTTATTGTCCTTTCTCTCAGGAGAGCCTTTCATTAGAAACCTTTGTCCCTGGCCCCCAGGGAGCCTCGCTCTAGCCGGGAGACTCGGGTTTGTGCTGCTCAGAGCAGTCATGTAAGAAGCTAATTTTTGACCATTCATGCCTTTCTAGATGCTGTGAGAGTAGTATTTCAAGGAAGAGGAGGAAAGAGGTGGGCACATCTGCTTTTTCACTAATCATTTGAGATCTTAGGACTAGTAAGAATTATTGTTATTAATTTAAATAATAAATAAAGAGGCAGAACCAGCATTCCATCTCTAAAAAAGACTTTCTACTCATGGTGCTTTTGAGAAGAAACCGTTCTGATAATGGGTCGGCAAAGACTTCGTAGAGCGCCCTTGGTCCCCACTCAGCACAACCAGGCTTTGAGTGGTGACTGTCAGCGAATCCGCTGTCCCTGCACCAGGTTGGCATGCCCCCCCCACCCCGTTTCCTTTTGGATTCATCCCGTAGTCCGGGCTATATCATCCCTTCCCCACCTCACCGCCCCTTCAATACTCATTTTCTCTTTGATTTACTGATAAATGTGCTTTTCTATAAACATTTCCTTAATATAAATTTTCATGTAAATTATGCTTACTTGCATTGTATTGACATTTTAGAATTAGAATCCACTTACCAAGATCGTTATTAAAGATTGTCTTTGCAAAAACCTGCCTATGTTGAATTAATTTAGAATTCTGCTACTTATAACAAAAAAGGACAGACATGAAGAGGATGCATATGTGAAATTATTTTGTCAACTGTAAATTCTTATACAACTATAATGATTTTTTAACAGTTTTGTTTACTTAATTTTATTTATTCATTCATTTATTTAAATTTGACCAGACACACACACACACACACACACACACAAAGAGGGAAAGTGAGAAAGCAAGCCACCCGGTTCGGAACTTGAACTGTGGTTGGCCATGTGTAGTGTCCAGCACCTTAACCACCATGTCACCTGCTGGTCCCCAACTCTAATGATATTGTTATTACAAGTTGAGAATTCCTTATCCAAAATGCCTGGGACTAGAAGTATGTCGGATTTTGAATTATTTCCGGATTTTGGAATATTTACATATATATAATGAGATATCTTGGGAACGGGATCCAAGTCTAAATGTGAAATTTATTTATGTTTCATATATAGTTTATAAACATAGCTGAATGAAATTTTATACAGTTTTTTTGGTTTTGGAGAGATTTTGCTATAAGGCACATGTGCTCACTGAAGAGACAGAGAGACAGAAAGTGAGAAATCACCCCCTAAGGGGGTGACCATGCCACAATCCCTTCCCCTCCAGTCTCCTCTCAGAATTTTGGGTGGGCATGCACGCACATGTGCCTGGCATGAGTGTTAAGCCTCCAAGTCTGGGACTCAAACCACTGTTGACTATGTGGGAGTCCAGCAATGTAACTGTTATGCCATCTGCTGGTCCCAAATCTATTACAACATTTTTATATTGCAGCATTTTGACTGAGACCCAACCCATGAGGTCCAGTAGGGAATTTTCCACTGTGGCATCATGTTGGTACTCAAAAAATTTTGGATTTTGGATTTCATATTTTAAGATTAGGGTATGTTTAACCTGTGTTATTTTTGTCAGGTGGTAAATGCATTTTTGTCTCAAGGCTTCTCTTGCCTTCCACTAGGGCATTATGAAGAATGTAGAAAGAGTGACAGTTCTATTTTCTCCTTAAAGGAAGAAAGGTCATTTCTATTGACTGTTACAAACATGACAGTTTCTATAGCTGAATGGCAGGCAACATGTATTTTGTTTTTAAAAGAATATGGCAAAGCTGATGTAAGATGGCTTTACTTTGATCCCACCATTGTGTCTGTGGAAATTCTGACTGCCGTCCTGGATGGTTCTCTGGCATTGTTCCTCGTTTATGCCATCGTCAAAGAGAAATATTATCGGTAAGTACCCTTCTTCTGTCTTCTTGTAAAGAGCCTTGAGAACTAGCAGGTAGCATAGTAGCTAAGGAACTGGGTTCCCATATGGCCGACTGTGGTTCGAGTCCCAGATCCGGTGGCCTGAAAAATCACACTGGGGGCGTGTGTGTGCATGCCCAAAATCCCAAGAGGAGAAGGGATTGCAGCATAGCCATCTCCCGGGGGGGGGAGGGGGGAGGGTGATTTTCTGACTTTCTCTCTGTCTCTAGCAAACATACACACCTATGACAAAAACAAAACAGAAGAGTAGACGCCTTGGCTGTCTCAAGGCTTAGTGACATTTGTAGTAAGTTGTGACCACATTTATTTGTTAGATAAAAGGTAGAGTAGAAATGATAATTGTTTGGGCCAGTCAGGTGACGTTGTGGTTAAGGCAGCTGGATCACACATGGCTGCGCGGTTCAAGTCCCAAACCCACTAGCTTGAAAATACGCCACGCACCTGTGTTTGCATGCCCAAAATCCTGAGAGGAGAGTGAAGAAGAGATTGCGCTGTGGCCAGCCTCGCAGGAAAGTGCTTTCCCTCTTCTGTCTCTCTCTCTTTCTGTCTCTCTCAAGCAAGTATATGCACCCTATGAAAAACTTAAAAAATAAAAATAAAAATTGTTGGGACCAGCAGTTAGCATAATGGCTATGTTGCTGGACTCCCACATAGTCAACCGTGGTTCGCATCCCGGACCCGGTGGCTTAAAACTCACGTCGGGCGCATGTGCGTGCGTGCCCAAGATCCCGAGAGGAGAATGGAGGAGAAGGGATTGTGGTGTGGCCATCCCCCCTGGGGGGGTTATTTCTCACTTTCTGTCTCTCTGTCTGTCTGTCTGGCGAGCGCACACGTCCTATAGCAATAAATAAATAAATAAGTAAATAAATAAATAAATAAATAAATATTGTTTGTTATTAGATCAAGTCCTGGTGCCGCCTGGGTAATTTTGGAGCATTGAAAATAAAAAATATGAGAAATATGGTTCTAGTAACAACCTAGTTGCTGAAAAGGCAAGAACAGTGTTAACAGTGTCACATGCCTTACCACCAACCTTCGGAACAATAAAAGGGTAATATAATGTTTTCATCCTTTCTCTAAATCACTCAAGAGAACTTCTGTCCCACCTGACACAAAGTAAATTCTCTTACATAATTTTGAGTTAGGCATGAAGGAGAAATCTTGTTCAGAAGCAGGCTGCAAAAGATATGGGGAGGCAGATGGGGAGAAGGAAAAGATGAAAAATTAACCATTCTACCCTTCAGACTCAGAGACTCAACCCTCTTCCTGCCCTCCCTTTTCTTGTCTTTACTTATGAGGTGAATAGACTGCTGCCTGGGGATGAGCCCTTAAACAGTGTCAAGTGGGCATAACCACATTCAGCATTTTTTTTTTTTAAGAATTATTTTTATTTAACTTTATTTATTTATTTATGTATTTTAATTGAGAGAGAGAGAGAGAGAGAGGGAGAGAAAAAGTGAGAAAGCAAGCCAGCAGGTCTGGGATTCAAACCACTGTCAGCCATGTGGGAGACCAGCGCCCTTAACCACCACGCCACCTGCCGGCCCCCTGCATTCAACTTTAAAGTCTCATCATAAAAATCTCAGATTTCAAAAAGGCCTTAAAGGTCATTTAACTCACTGTCTCCCACCTGATTTCACAGAGATAGTTGTTAGTAAATACTAGATTTCTCCCTGATGCTTTGACATAGTCTTGGCTCTGTGCCATGTTTGTGACTTACTGCCTGCTCCCTGTGTTTATTATTTCAACACTTACAATATTTGCACTGGCGAGTACTCACCGTGTGTGAGTGCATACCCAGTGCTCAGCCCTTTCTCTACATGTGTCATTTCATCTCGACAGCACTCTTTGAAGAAGGGGCTATTGGGAACCAGCAGTTAGCGTAATGGCTATGTCGCTGGACTCCCACGTAGTCGACCGCGGTTCGTGTCCCGGACCCGGTGGCTTAAAACTCACAACGGGCGCGTGTGCGTGCGTGCCCAAGATCCCGAGAGGAGAATGGAGGAGAAGGGATTGCGGCGTGACCATCCCCTCTGGGGGGGGATTTCTCGCTTTCTGTCTCTATGTCTCTCTCAGTCTGTCTGGCGAGCGCACACGCCCTACAGTGAAAATCTCTCCAAAAAAAAAAGAGAAGGGACTATTTATTATATATCATAATTTTTTTTTAGAGAGAGATTTTTCCTGTAAGGTGTTTGTGCTCACTGGAGAGGCAGAGAGAGATTGAGAGACAGAAAACAAGAAATCACCCCCTAGGGGGGATGGCCATTCTGCAATCCCTTCTCCTCCCTTCTCCTCTCTGGATTTTGGGTATGCACACACACACACACACGCCCTGTGTGAATTTTAAGTCCCTGGATCCAGGACTTGAACCACAGTCGGGCATGTGATAATCCAGCGACATAACCATTGTACCATCTGCTGGTCCCAATATCCTATTTTATAATAAGTGAAGTAGCAGTTAGTGGAGAGATTCACATCCAGGTTTCAGTTTGCTTGGTCAGCTGTGACCTCTCTAAATCTTCCTAAGGATAGGCCAGGATACCGGAGTTCCTTATTGAACTCTGAGAATAATCTAGAAAGGCCAGTGTTGCTTTTCCAAGGAGAGGATGAGTCTTCATTGATTACATTGGCTTGTCCCATCAAAGGAGCACTAGGTGGATTCTGAGGCCCAGCTTCAGAAAGGTGCTCTGCAATGAAGACTGTGATAATGCAACCCTTAGAGATAAGGTGTCATAATTCAGGCTGTCCAGCTGAGTAGAGCTGGCTGTTTCATTCTTTTTCTAGAGAGATTTTTGCTATAGGATGCACGCATTCACCAGAGAGACAGAAAAATGAGAAATCATCCCCCCGAGGGGATGGCCACACTGTAGTCCCTTCTCCTCCATACTTGGGATTTTGGGCACACACGCACACATACCTGGTGTTTTAAGCTGCCATGTCCAGGACTTGAACCATGGTTGACTACATGGGAGTGCAGCAATGTAACATTACACCATCTGTGGTCCTGGCAGTTTTATTTCTTGTTTCTTTCTCCCTAACAGGCATTTCATACAGATTACCCTATGTGTGTGTGAATTGTATGGTGACTGGATGACCTTCTGCCCAGAGTGGGTTACCGGAAGCCCCAACCTCAACACCAGCAATTGGCTCTACTTCTGGGTCTATCTGGTATTCTTCAATGGTGTGTGGGTTTTAGTCCCAGCACTGTTACTATGGCAATCATGGGTAGAACTCAAGAAAATTCATCACAGAGGAGCCGGTTCAGGAAGAAAGTTCCAGTGAATTTTCAGAATCATAAACACTATTATCTTGCTTTCTGAGCCAGAATAGATTCAACCTTTCTATCTGGTTAAGATGTAGTACATTCCAGTCTACAGTTTCTTTTTATGTTGTTGCTCTGGAACAGCCTGTTTCAAATTGCTTTTAAGGGTGGCAGTTTTTCATGATTTGTTTTTTTTGTTTATTTAATTAGATGACAATAAAGAGAATAAACTTGTAATAATGACACATTTAATTAAATGTTTTTATAGCTGGCATTAATTGTACCACATTAATAAAACCAATTATCTTAGAATACCAAAGAGAGTGTCAGATTAATTTTTTATTCCAAAGAACATATTGTTGCTTCATCTTTTAATCTTTTGCTAGTCTTTTTTAAAAATTTTACCAGAAGGCACGTGCGCTTGTCAGAGAAAGACACAGAGAGGAGAGAGAGAGAAAGAAAGTGAGGAAGCACACCATCACCCCCATGCCCCGCTACCCCCCAGGAGACGGCCATGCCACACTCTCTCCTCTTCCATTCTCCTCTTGAGATTTTGGGCACATACACACACACACATGCACCTGGCATGTTTTCAGGCTACCAGGTCCAGGACTTGCACTGCAGGTGTTCATGTGGGATCCAGCTGCCTTAACTACCACACCACCAGCTGACTTTTCACTAGTCTTTTTTGGTTACTATTGTCAAACCAGGAATTAAATGAATGCTTTTATTTTACATTTGTTTTAATTTTCAAATCTGTGACCCCAACAGAACATAATACTAATAGGAAGTTAGGAGTGTGCTAACTCATGGGTAAACACTGGGCCCCACAGATAGATGACTGATTTCGATTTATCCTTTTTCAAGGAGGAAGATTTGAAATACCACAGATATATGTAAGACATTATGTCAAAAAGTAAACCAGGAGGGCTGGCAGGTGGCATGGTGATTAAGGGAGCTGGACTCCCACATGGCCAACCATGGTTCAAGTACTGGAGCTGGTGGCTTGCTTTCCCACTTTCCTGCTCTTACTCTCTTGCTCTGTCTCTCTCCAGTCAAATATAAATAGATAGATAGATAGATAGATAGATAGATAGATAGATAGATAGATAGATAGATAGACAGATAGATAGATAGACAGATAGATAGATAGATAGATAGATAGATAGATAGATAGATAGATAGATAGATAGATAGACAGACAGACAGACAGACAGACAGATAGATAGATAGATAGATAGATAGATAGATGATAGTAAGCCAGGAAACAGGGACACAGGGAAGTAGTGAAAATAACATGATGAATGTAAAGTTGATATACAGAATGGATGCCCTAATGTTTCACATAATCAAGAGAAGTGAAGCACAAATTTGGCAGTTACCCTCAGTAGTAAGAGGGAAACACGACCACATTGTGCATCAGAAAACTCTAGTTCTGGTGATTATAGCAGTTCTATGGAGATAAGAGCAGATACTGTCATTAACTTGCTCAACACCTGCCCTCCCTACTAGACTCCAAGCTCACAGGTATATTCCATGCCTAGATAGGGGCCCATAGACCAGGCCCTTGGTTTGCTGTGCTGAACAGTAGCTCACATAGCTCACGCTGTATCCTATCCTCCTTCTAGGCTGCCTTATTTTGCAGAGGCTATTGGTTCTGTCCTGGAAGTTGGTCTCTCCTCTCAGAGGTTCTTAAGAGATTTGGAGGATGCAAATATAACAGCCATTTTCAACTATTCCATTTGCTTTGTTTTGTTTTCCCTCTCTTGGAGAGAGATAGAAGTACAGAGATAGGCTTTGTGGGGAGGGATCTTGCCTTGTCATGATCCTCCTACCCAACCTGCCAGTTAGCTAGGATTACAGGTGCATGCCACCCTGTTTAGGTTGGCCCAGGAACCGAACCTGGGCCTTCCATGTGGCCCCAACATCCAACAGTGGTGCCCTACCACTTGTGCCATTGCCACTAGGCCTTTTTTCTCTTTATGTTCTGTTTTGTATTGACAAGGTCATGGAAATGTAATGGCTTGGGCATTAATATGTTACACCGAGTGTCCAATTTCCTGGGTATTAAAGGCAGCTGTGGATGGGACAGCAGGAGTAAAGGACCTATGGGCTGAGTAGCCCCAGTTGTGGCCTCATTGGCAATGCCTCCCTTGGGAGGATCCCTTCTGTGGTTATCTGGGAGTCATTTCTAGCTTAGCTAAGTACCTGTGTACCTGTAACCCAGCAATTTGACTCCTATGTGTATATCTCACAGAAATGTTTAATATGTGCACAACAAAGGCAGATTTTTTAATAATACTCCAAACTGAAACAACCTAAATGAATAAATTGGGGTATATACATGCAATGACTACTCTTTCACAGTGAAAATGAACTACCTTCTGCTACTCATGACAACATGGATAATTTCACAGACATGACGATAAGAAAAAAAAAAAAAAACAGACCAGAAGAACACATGTTTATGATTCTATTTTTGTAAAGTGCAAAAACAGATAAAGCTAATCAATGTTGTTAGAAATCAGGTTAGAAGTCGCCTTTGGGGAAAATGGTAGGAGGAGTGATGGTGAGTGGTCATGAGGAAGCTTCTGAGATGCCAGTAACATTCTGTTTTTTTCTTTGGGTTGTAGTTATAATTTGCTATAATTCATTTGAATGCAAATTTGCAAACTGGGTACTTTTCTGTAGACAGTCATCGTCCTTTGCTGTCCATGGAAGACTGGTTCCAAGAACCCCTCAGATACCAAAATCCTCACATGCTCAAATCCTTTGTATAAAATGGTGTCGTTTTTTGTGTATAACTTAAGCACATGCTCCTGTATACTTAATATCATCTGTAGCTTAGTTTTCATACCAATACGGTGTGAATGTTATGTAAATAGTTGCCATACTGTATCGTTTAGGGAATGATGACAAAAGTTGGTACATGTTTATTACAGAAATCATCATTTATTTGGGGGGGGTTCTGTTTTTTAGGATTTTGTTGTAGGGCACATGCACTCGCTAGAGAGAGACAGAAAGAGAGAGAAAGTGAGAAATCACCCCTTAGTGGATATTGCTACACTGCAATCCCTTCTCCTCCACTCTCCCCTTGGGATTTTGGGGCATGCATGCACACGCACCTGGTGTGCTTTTCAAGCTGCCAACTCCGAGACTCAAACTGTGATTAGCCATGTGGGAATCCAGAGCCTTAACCACCCCACCACCAGCTGGCCCCCCAGGGGAGTATTTTTGACTCACAGTTGAATCTGCAGGAGCAGAACCCACAGGAATGGAGGGCTGACTGATAGGTTATACTTTAATTTTAGACATGTGTTAAAAAAGTCTGGTACAAGACCTGAGAGATGTCTCCATTGAGCCGTCATGAAGACCCACTGCTATGGCCTTGATGACAGATCCAGCACTGCCTAGCTGTTTCTAATGGTGTCCTAAATGTGGGCCAGCGGGCGATGCCAGTAGGACAGTCAGTGCAGCCTTTCCGTGAGGGATTACCCCGTGTGTCTCCAGTACTTTGCTCTCTGCTGATCTGGCTCAATCCAAGGGTAAACAGGGCAGAACAAAGTGGCCGGGCTGCAGATCCTGCAGGCAGTCCTGGAAACTGGATTTCTCTCAGCACAGTTTTTGCTGAGTGTTGAATGGGAGAGGAAGGGGATTACAGACTGTGACAGGAACTGGGAGCGCAGATTCACTCCATTGCCAAGTAGGGCGAATCCGAGTGTCGTACGATTCAGTGGGTTGGGAGAAGGTGGTGTCCCTGAATGAGGGTTATGGACCCTCACAGTCACTGTGAGTACAAGTCATCTCCCTGTCCCTGGGAAGGGGGAATAGGCTGACACAGGTGATGCCATATTTTGCTGATTCTAAGGTCCATTTCCCCCAACATGTTTTAGCATTTTAAAAATTAGGATGCATTGTACAGTTGATGTGTCTCAGGTGGCAGTGGTTTTTCTTTAAAATAAAAGTACATCTTATGCCTTATGGCATCTTAGATTCAGTGAAATAAGGCACTATCTTCAGTGTTGTACTCCTCAAAGCCTTAATGTCTTCAACTAGCTAGAAGGGATATTTATTTTATTATCTGTTTATTTTCGGAGAGATTTTTTGCTATAGGGTGTTTGTGCTCCCTGGAGAGATAGACAGACAATGAGAAAGTGAAAAATCACCCCTCCCCTGGGGGTGGCCATGCCACAATCCCTTCTCCTTCAGTCTCCTCTCGGGATTCTGGCCACGGACACACACCTGTGCCCACGTGTTCTTCAAGCCACCCTGTCCGGGACTCAAAACAGTGTAGTCGGCCATGTGGGATCCAGATGCCTTAAGCACTACTGGCTGGCTCCAAACAGAATTCTCGAATTTCTTGTCTGTGTCATTTAAGTGGCCTTTGGTAGCGCTACAGTGTCATTTTTTTGTTTTTTTGGAGAAGTTTTCTCTATAGGGCGCGTGCACTCACCAGACAGACAGACAGAAAGAGACAGAGAGATAGAAAGCGAGAAATCACTCCCCCAGGGGGGATGGCCATGCTGCAGTCCCTTCTCCTCCATTCTCCTCTCGGGATCTTGGGCATGCATGCACACTCGCCCAGCGTGAGTTTTAAGCCACCAGGTCCGGGACACGAACCGTGGTGGACTACGTGGGAGTCCAGCAACATAGCCATTACGCTAACTGCTGGTCCCTATGGTGTCATTTTTGTACACCTCCTTCCCAAGTGTGCACTTTGAATCTTGAAACCTTACATTATTTTAGGCTCCGTGGAGAGCTCCAGTTTATACACAAGGAACCTGAGGCACACGGGCTGGATCACCTGCCCAAGGCCGCAGAGCTTTTCTGTGAACTAAGACTCAGTTCACTTAAGTGTGCTCTTTCTATTCCAACAGCAGGTCTCACACTGAACATCAGACATGCTCCAGGAGCCTACAAATCATGGAAACGATTCGGTGTTGTGACTTTTTATGCTCTAAAAAAAGGAAGCACATTTCTGATCGTCTGAGTCCGTTCATTACATTTGAATAGCCTCCCCCTCCAATTTGAGTGTTTAATTCTGAGTTTACTAATATTCTTGTTCATACCTTCCACTATTTAGACCCAGTGGTGGGGTGACAGCAGTGTCTTGTAATGCAATGTTTTTTCTAGAAGGAGAGGCAGTGAGATGGAGGACGTGTCCTCAGGGCTCCCCAGCTTTTGAAATCTGAGCAACATGACAGTACGACACATGTTCCATACCAGTGTGTGTTTTTCGATGATGTATTTTTTCGATGATGTATTTTTATTTTAATTTCACAGTTTGTGGAATTGTGTTGAGAGCGAAGAACAGCTCTT